GCTTTACTAATTTGTTATACACAATTTATTCTGATTATATAATAATACAAAATTCAAATAGGGTATTTCAGATGCTGTTTACTCAAAACTTCCTAATGCCTTTCATGCTTATTGTGTATGGCATATTGAAAAAAATGTCGATACAAAGTTTAGAACAAAGCTCGATGGTAAAATTTAGACAGCAGCAAAAGCATTGCACATAAAAGGTTTTGTCGAAATTATGGAAGAAATCTTTAATATGCATGCAGAAGCTGCTGCATATCTTAATAAAATACCTTCTGCAATGTGGACACTTAGCAAATGTCCTCGAAACTGATTTGGTCATCTTACGTCCAATACATCTGAGTCATTGAATTCTTGGTTACATGATGAATATCTTGCAGAACCACTTGAAGCGATTATTTTGCTTATTCGCAGAGTTAATGCACTTTCTTTAATCGTTATACAACATATTCTTCTGTGCAAGCAATGTTACCACAAACTATTACTCAGCAACTTCAATCCGTTATTGATAGCTATCGCAAAAGAATGGTATATCAAGCTAGTGATTCAGTTTTTGAAGTTAAAAGTAACGATGGTAACTTCTGCATTGTAGATCTTTCCTTAATTACCTGCACTTGCAAAAAATTTCAACAATATCGATTTCCTTGCTTGCATGCATGTGCTGCCATTCTCAAAATACACAAACAACCATTACAATTTATTCATTATACATACCATACTGCTACTTTATGTAACATTTATAAGGAGTCCATTTAGCCTGTTGATATAAAAGCTTGTGTTCCTGATGGTAAAACTTTACCACCCAAAACAATTAAGCAAGCAGGACATCCACAAAAAACTCGCTTACATAGTCATGGAGAAACCGCACCAGAAGACCAAGTTTCTTGCAGAAAGTGTGGGGATAAAGGTCATAATTCACGCACCTGTGACCAAAGACATAAGCAAAAGCGAACATAATTGCAAATGATAGATGTATAAACTGCTTATTATATATGTATATTTTTTTTATTTTTTAATAAAATATGCTATTGCGATTACATATTAAACATACTTAATGCATTAGTCAAATTTATTTGTGCTTTGGCTTCTACTCGTAATAAGTTTTAAAAAAAAATTGGGCCCTTATATGTAATTACTTTAGTTTGGGCCCCAATTTGTAATTATTTTCATTTTTTGGGCCCTTATATGTAAATTCCCCATAAATATAATACTTTTATAGATTTTACTATGATTTTAATGATTATAATTTTTCAATGCAGTTTCGACAAATATTAAAAATTTAGTTGTTTAGTATTATAATTCTGTAATTTGAGTTATATTTTCTTTAGTTCAGTCAATAAATTCTTGTTCATATCGAAACTTTTTTTTATTAGCGCCTCCTTGTGTAATATATTTATTATTTTATGTTCAGAACTTTTTTATGCTTTTTGTTAAGATCTGTTAATCGACAAAAACGGAGATGCATTCAAGCAAAATCTTAATTCTGGATGTGTTGACATTATAGTAGCGTTCAGAATACATTCGCAAAAAATATGTATCATTATCGCTATATTACTAATCAAGCTCAAATCAAATCACTGCCGAATCAAATTTTATTTGAATCGGCCAAATAATCATTCGATCAATTTTTTTTACAGATGTCCCAAAATTTATGGGAACAGCTGTAAAATGTCTGGATAATCCGGATAAATTATTATATATTTCTCATTAAAACTTTCAATGTCTATCATTACTTGGATCAAAAAATTAGTAATAATAATATCCTGATTCGTTGGGAATTAGAGAAAACTTCATTTCCGCTTATTCACATACGGACAGAGTATTATTAATTAATCCGTGGTCTTGATATGGTGATCGGGATTATTATTACTAATTGGTGATTACTAATTTGTAAATTAATTGGTAAATTTTTTTCTTAAAATATAAATTTTGTTCTGTAACTTTATTTTTTTGAGATTTTAGTATCGATCTGTTCAAAATTCGGAATCATGATCTTTGGTAATTCATCAAATTAACAGATCTTGAATGAATACATTTTCATACTAATTAAATTTATAAACATATTTGAGTAATGCCAAGAAAAAATGGGACATTGATTTATCGTTTATTATTTAAATAAGTAATCTATAATAAACCAATGTCCCATTTCCCTTAGCGTCACTCATTTATCTAACTTTAAATGGTAACAACGTATTATGGTGATCACAGGATTCAAAAAAATTTGTTATATCATTCATACACATATAAAGGGACAGAAAACCGGTAATATTTATTATAATTATATTATTATTTATTATTTGCAACTCTCCAAAAAAAATAAAATAAAATAAAAAGATGCCCTCAAAGCTATTGTATACTGACTTTTTTTTTATGACAATTTTTTTGTGCATTATTGCACTCTTTTTTGATCTTAGTAATGCTTATAAACTGCTGGATGTCTGAATAGTGAGCTAGAGCCTAGAAGTTTTACCCATCATGCAAAGCGAGATGAAGAATTTACAGGAAGTGTTACATCCTTCGAAGTAAGCGTTGGTGCACGTGGTAATCAAAAATACGGACAATGATTTGGTTTGTGCATTATCACAAGAAAGATTCAATGATGGTAATTCAAGCTGTGGTAGTCAGATCCAAGTGAATTGTGGTTCTAACACAGTCACAGTCACGGTTGAGGATCAATGTTTTGATTGTCAACGAGATCTTGTCATAACGTTACATTAAAATTATTCTCCAAAAAAAAAAAAAAAATTCATACTTCCAAGAAATCTTTTTTTCAAGAATTAATGTTTTCATATTTCGACCTAACATATACGTAAACATTAATAATGCATTAGATTACTTTTATATTTCGACAAATTCATATACTGTACGTATGTAGATAGACTTCTTGTTTTTTGCCAAACTTACGTAGGTTATTGTAGGAAATATAATCACGTACGGTAGAATTATTCTTTGTTAAGTTACTTTTGCATATATAGTTATCATTTAAAAAAATGAAAAGTATTTTGATTAATATCACTCATAGTATATAATTAAAAATATTTTTTTTAGATATTTTTCAAATATTTCTGAAAAACTCGTATTCAATACATAAGTATATTCTAACAAAGATAACCCTAGATTAGTATACATATGTTCAAATTATTTGAAACCAACCTTAGACCGAAATGATTTGAACATAAGTCCGTATAATTTAATGTTTGAATTAGGGTTAGAAGTAGGTTTCATATTAAAGCCAGGATATGGCTTATTGTATATAATTAATTCATTTCTTAATACATATTAATATTAAGATATTTAAGACCACTCAAATCCACTTAAATTCCACCAAAAGTTGCACATATGTATGACGTTTAGTTCTGATTGTTGATGTTGTAGGTAAATTCCGTTATCAAATAAAAAAATTTCATTATCAAAGATATTTTGTGTGCAATCATTCGTTGCATTTAAAAACACATCATTTAAAGAAAGCTATTTGCTCAAGTGTTTTCGTACAGACTCACAACGCATTGCACACATAGCCACTTAGTCTCCAAATAAAAATACAAATAAACAATAAAATTCGTAACACTATTAATGTGTCAACATTCTAATAATTTCGATTGATTAAAAATATATTACTGGAACCTGACCAAATCAATTACATGGATCCCAATATTTTAAACCTAAATCCTACAGAATTAATAGCAGCAAGTTGGTACGTACGTATATACGTATTTTGTTGGAATACTGGAATATAACGATAAGTATATTGCATGACCATTAATTCTGATTATTCCCTAAAATTTAGGGTTGGGCGTATTTATATGCGCTTGTAACGCAAACCATATATAGAATAACGGAGATACGTATTCAAAAAATAAAATAAAGATGGCGAAGATAAAGGAAACGAATGACAGAGTCAGCTTACTAATTATAAATGTTGGAAATGCTATTTTGTAAATAAAAACTATTTCTTTCTTTGTCCATTGCTACTTACACTAACCTTGAATCTAAAGTTTACATACTGATTAATTATATTCTTGATATATTTAGATAAAAGAATAACCAAACTGCGTAACTCTAATCTTACTTCGCTTCAACCGACCTCCTTTTTTGGCTATCGATAATATAAACAAATAAATTTACAGGTTAAGATGAAAAGATTAGCATTTAGGGTTCGGTCAGCTTTAGAGATAGAATTCATGATAAACAGGTGGATTTTAGGGAGCTATATAGAAATTCAACAATAATGTGCACATTGTTGTTAATTTAATTGAGAGATTTCTGTGATTAAATCACGAACTGCAACCAATTAATAGACTGTCAATAATTAATAATGAAGTCACTTCTACCTTATAGGAAGGAATTTGTCAAAAATGTTGTTACTAAACATCTTAAATTATATAAGTTCGTATTAAATTTTATTTTTAATAAAGTTAACCTTCTAGCATTTTTAATTATTATTTTTTTTTTTTGGAGCTAGAAACGATGTGTAATTGTGTGATGCTTTATTTGTGTAACGTTACGTCTTAAAAAGCACTTTATAAACACTTCTACCTAAAGTAAAACAAAAAATAATCAGTTAAAGTGTAGAATTAACAAACTTTTTTACATTTAAGATCCTTTATAACGATGTACACATAATTTACTAACATATAAAGAATTATAATTTAAGAGATCTTTAATTAGTTTCAGTGACCAAAAAAGGTCCAGTAATCAAAATTAGCTTTAATGATACGCATCAAAATCAATAGATTATTGTGTTCTCTAAAAGTACGACACAAATAAATATTACAAAATTTATATAGTAATTACATGGAGTTAAATGGAAATTACCTCCGAAATTTCTTTTGCAATGCTCATAGAAGGGCCCGCTATTTTTAAGTTTTGCTATGATTATTAGTTATCTATGTGTGCATTATACGTATTGTACATGTTGGATAGATTATGATTAGATTAAAAATGTGGTATTTTATATTGTCTACTGTATCTTTAATTCCATTACGATTACTTTGTGTTTTGCTTTTTGTATAACCGTGATGTACTTTGGAAGGGAGTACAGCGATTTAGGCTGAATTCAATAAACAAAGTCTTTATTTTATTGAAACTCTTTAGTGTGAATTTCCCTTTCTAATGTTTACAATCACTAAAAATCTTGCGGATGAACTTCAAATATTAATTTTTAAATTTGTAAGTTCTCCTAAGGACTTTAAAAACTTGGCAGTAAGCTGCAAAAAATTCTCTATTATAGCCAAAGATAGTCAAACAAGAGCAGAATGGATTATATACAAATATGGAAGGTCTCATGCGCTCTTTCACGCTATAAGATTAGGCCCAACCTTTATTGATCTTTCAGTAGCAAAGGCTATTATTGCCAAGGGAGCTATTCTTTCTAGATACTTTATTCAGAGGCTATTTACTCATTTTGGACGTTATGATACTCCTTATAATACAGCAGGGCAAATAATTATTAATAAAATTGTAAATTTAAGAGCAGAAATCTCATGGGCAAGTAATTTGCAGATTTCAACTTTTTCATATTTAATAACTGAAGCTCAAGAACAAATGGAACCTAATGATCTCCAGGTTAGAGGGGATGATATGAAGCTTTTTACTCTTCTTTCCGGAGGTGAACAAGTAATCAATCATGCGCAAGTTATTTTATTTCAAAATATGGAACATATCCAAAAGTTAATATTGCATACAAAATTTATTCCGTTCCCACAAAGAACAAATCAATTACAAGGAAATCAAAATGAGTATCCAGCAAAAGATGGTTATGAAAATGATCGACAACTTAACATAATTGCACGTTCAATTCTAATCTGCAAAGATTTGGTTCATTTATGGAAACAAATCGGGTACTATGAAATTTGTGAAGATTTAAATGATCTAGTAATGAAGGGTGCTTTTTTACTTCTTTTTCCACCGAGACCTTTTGCAGGATGGACACGACCAAGTGTACAAATTGTTAAAAAAAGACTTATGGAATTAATTGAAGCCGGATTTCAATTAAATCACAATGTTATCAGTTATGTCCTCCATCATTTTAAACATAGATTAGATGACATTGGTAACATATTGATGGAATCATTTATGCATGTACATGTCAAGCCTCTAGCATTATCACCTAAATTTTATAACTGGGTGCTCAAAAGATTTGGACCGGATGAACAAATAACTGCACTCTGTTTTGATGATCTTTTAAAAACGTGTATTAGTTTCGAAACCGAACTTCAAATGTCTAATATCAAAGTCTCTAGTGGAATGAATGAATTTGTGTTCAAAGATATATACGATACTTTTAAGGCATATTGCAACGCTAAAACCTTTTTCCGACCTTCTCATTTGGAAACAATCTCACAAAGCACTAGCCATGAAATTCTTGATCTATTATTCAATCATTATTTAACCGATCTTTTTAACACAGAAATGGCAATTTCACTACTAGTGCAAACTATTGGTGACCCAGATAATAGGCAAAATTCTTTTAAAATTTCTCAAACTAAGAGAAAAGATAATGTTCAAACGGTTAAAGAATGGGAAGAGAAATTAACAAGCATGTATCAGCAATTGATGCACGAAGAAAATAGAGTAGCCAACATATTTTACGATCATTTAAGTAAATTCGTTGAAAAAAAATTCTTTCAATCAAAAGAAAAATAGTCATTAGTGATCATTTTATAAAAAAAAAATTTATTTTTATTTTTATTATTGCTTTACCTAAATATTAAATACTATATACTGTGTACGAATAAATATATAAATATCTGAACATTTATTATAAAACGCACCTATGGTGATTTTGCACCTATTATATATATATATTTATATATCTTTCAAAGTTTTCTAAGTTTTCTTTAGATAAAATTTTTAGTATAAATTTTTCATGTATGGGTTAGTATTTAGTGATAGAATTAAGATTTAGGAAGGGTTTTTGAGGATGTAGAGCATTTTTATTTAAAGCATCGCATATTAATTAGTTAGCCAGTTTTTAAGATAATGCAACATAGGTGGTAAAACACCATAGGTGTGCGTTTTAGTAAAAGTGATATCTAAATATATATATTTAATCGGTCAATGAATTTCCAAATTTGATCGTTGTTCATATATTCCTACCACAAAATCCCGAAAACCATTTTCCCGAATGAACATAATACCGATTAAATTGACCAACATTATAACTAATGCCGGCTAACTTTGTCGGTATTAGGTCCTTTCGGGAATCTGTCTTTCGGGATTTTGTAGTAAAACCATTCAATTTAGTTTATTTAGTTAGTTAATGTTAGCGCTTAGAAATGATTGCTAACGTTTGGTGTTACTCTAAATCACTTTTCTGGGGTCTAAAGCGGAGCAGATTCTTATACTACGTATATATTTTATTGAATTAACTTCCGGATTAAGGTTATCTTAGATTAAGGTTAGGACAGAGTTTTAGATAGTTATATATGCAAAATTGCTTCCTGACATTTTTACTTAACCTATCTAGGTAGGTTTAGACTGCTGTTTTTTGTATTTTTCAAGTTTTTGCTTTTCTTTTTTGTTTTGCTTCGCCGGCGATCGTCAAAATTCTATAATTTGGTTGGTCGTGTATCACGTGATTTTACTCCGCTTTAGACGACCTTTTCTGGTAAATTGACATTTATTTTAATAATCGATTTTCCTTGACTTGATTTTTTTTTGGTAATTTTGAGTTCACAAATTTCAACCGATTTAGAGTGGATGGGGAAATGTGATGTGCATTGTGAAGGGCCTATAAAATTTTTTTTATTTTATTTTATTTATTAGTTATATTATTATTATTATTATATACATAGATATTATGGATGTTTTCTACTCAACTTAACGGGTATGGCAGACTTGTACAAAGAGTTCGTTTTAGCTGATTTTATAGATTTAGTCACAATATTGTATTTCAATATTATGTCTGTGATAATAGCTTTTATAAATATTGTCACTTTATTCACTTCTTTGACTATATTTGCTTTATTGCCTTTTGCATATAAATTCAAACCTGTATTATTATAGTCCTGTAAAAAGTATAAAAGCAAAGACCTTTTTTTGGTAAATAAAGCAGAACTTAGTTAAGTAATACTTTGAAATAATAATAGTAAAAATATTTCAGTAGTTTTCACTTATCTAATTTTATTATTTCTAATAAATTATTCAATTATCTTGTCACTATCCCAATATTATAAAATAAACTGTGATTTTATTAACCTTCAAAATTAGAGTAAAAATGTTGGCTAAAAACCTCTTTACTAAAACTTAAGTGATCTAACATATTTTACTCTTGAATCTTAGTAAAAAAATTAAACTTTTTAATAAAAACACAGGTAAATTTGCCTGTGTTACAATTTAAGGGATATAATATTTAACTATTATATATAATTAAAAAAATTTATCTTTTTTTTTTTTTTTTTTAACTCTTTAACAGTCTTGTTGCTACCTTTATTAAAAGATAATTATTACATATGCAAAACACATGTGCCATATCTAAACTAAAATAATTAGATGTGGCATTATCCAGTTACTTCTTGAGTATCTAGATGCAACCTGTCACACTGTGCTATGAATAGAACAGAAGACATTGTTAGCTCTGCCCAAAAGCCAAAACTTAATTTTTTTCTACCTAAATCTTGGCAGAAAGGCTTCATAAGCTTGTTTCTCTATTCAATAAAACCAAGAAAAACAAAAAAGAAATAAAACAATATTGCAAGAAGTGGGAGATGAAGAAAATGATTAAAAGAAAGGAAGACTATAGGGGAGAAAAAATGAAAACCTAAGCATAAAACTTTAATATAACCATATAAGAAAAAGATAAAAAAAATAAATAAGGCTCTTAGACTGGGCTAAACAATATAATAAAAGAAAATAAAAGAAAGTGCACTATTGTAATCTGTGCAAGGCTTAAAAAAATTATACAACAAATGCAACATCTATATATCTCTACTGTAAAACTTTGCCTTAATATATTAGTTCTTTTTTGACTATATGACCAAATCCAGATAAGTCTTTAACTAAAGACTAGTCAATAGGCCTTGTTACATAAAGTAGCAATATGTTTATTACTAAACAAAACATGTGATTGCAATCTACCATGTTAAACAAATTTGAAAGGAGTAAACAATGCAGATCTTTTGATAGGGGTAAGCTATTTTGCTTATTTTTTTTGAAAATTTTGTTATAGACACAAGTGAGTGATAATAAAGAGTATAGATCTTGTACTTTTCTTAAGAGAGAGTATATATTTCTTTAAAAATAGTAAGATGATTAGATCCAAGCACACTGCTGATATTCTTTTCAGTAAGTGATAAACTCTAAACTTGTTAGCAAGTAGTGTATGAGAACTACTTCTAAATAACAAGTGCTATCCCCATGATAAGTGATAAGCTCTAAACCTATTAGCAGATAGCATATAAGAACTATCTTTAAATAATAGGTGCTGGTTTATAGTTCTCGTCAGTCTTATATCCTTCTTCTCTAATATAGTTTTACAGTTTTTGTCAAAATTTTTTGTTGTAAAAAGTTGGTCCAAGAGATCATTAGGAAGAGTTAAAAAAAAATCTATCTTTTTATAAGTTTCTATATAGTTTTAAACTATAGTATCAAATACTAAGTACTAATACAGTAAAGAAATATCTCTCTAAAACTTATTTATAAGGGTTTAAAAAACTTAAAAAGCTATTATTAAATGTCAATACTGTTAATATGACAACTAATTTGTAGATAGCAAAGAGTAATTATTGTTACAAAGTAGGTTGTAACACATAATAATGTAGTTTAAAATATTTCATTTATTGTATTATTTTATAGAGTATTAATATTATATTAGCATAGTTATTATTTATATATATCATATATTGTATTAGTATAGTTAATTATATTTAATTAGAGGAAAGATTCTATTGGATGATAGAATAGAGCACAGTAATACTGCGGCTAAGTAAAACAGTATATGATGCAAGAGAGTCTGCATAGTATCTTTAAAGTAACTCTACATAGTGCCTCCAAAGTATTTCTGCATAGTGTCTCCAAAGTACTTCTACACAGTATCTCCAAAGTACCTTTGCACAGTGCCTCTATAGTATCTCTACATAGTGCCTCCAGAGTGCCTCCACTCTGTTAGGCAATTATACTATTACACTTTTATCTGTAGAAAAGTTATAAAAAGGAAGCCTTGTCTCCTTTCATCCAGCTTAGAGTTTCATTACTCTTAAAGAGAGTTCCTATACTCTTACAGAGAGTTTTTTTACTCTCATAGAGAGTTCCTATCCTCTCATAGAATCTAGTCTTATCCTCTTACCCTTCTCTACTTGTAAAGTGTAATATTCCCTCTTTAGAGTAATTTCTACAGGCAAGGTTATCACTATACTTATTATTAATAAATATTATTATCTATATACTGTTATTATCTTGAACCATTTGCCTCCTGCTGTGAAGTTAAAATATATACTTCACATCCACCCCGTGTATATTCATAAAGTATATCACTACACCGGGTGATCTTGTTACTCTGCTATAATTATATCAAGAAGGCTATAGCATTGTAACATTATAATTATCTAGATATAATTACAATATAACTAATATTTGATTTTAAGTTCAAAAAGTATTACTTTCAAATAATCATATATCATGTTTATATACAAATCAAAGTATTAGCAAAAAATTATTTCTTATAATATATAAATAGAAATTAGTAAATAAGATATATATAATTGTAACAAATAATAGTACTAATATAATAAAGGATATTAATTTGTTAAAGAAAATTATTAGTCTAATATTATTTGGCAATCATATATTGCTTATATTCTTTAACTTTCAGTAAAAAAAGAGTTAAAACAAATTAAGCCAGTTTATAATTGCTTAAAAGTATTTAATTATATTTTAGACTTTCAAAGCAGACATAATAATTGCAAACTATACAAATTAAAATAAGTTTATTTGATAAAAATCAAAGTAATACTAAATATAAAATAATAAACTCACTTGATGTTTTGACTAACTGCAAAACCTATTAGAATTCTATTTACTTACTATAGAAATGAATTTTATTGTTATATTTACAATGCTAAAGTTTGTAATATTATTACAAAATAAGCTAAATACTCTATTAAAATAAGAAAGTGACAAGCTTCTTAAATTGTGTTTGACTATAGAAGGAAAAAAATATATTTTAATTTTAGATATAATCTTAATTAGTAATATACCAGGTTATAAAAAAGACCAGTTTAAACTAGTTCTAAGCTAGAACCAATAAGGACTATAGAACCAGTCCAGAACTGGTCTTTATACAGATATAAAAACTCTGTGTAAAATATAAGGTAAATCACTTTTTAAAAATTAATTTATATATTTATATAATAAATAATATTTGTAATACTTTACTTCTATACTTTTTGCCAATTTTTTTTGCAAGAATATACTGTCACAGGTAAAAAAATGTCCAACTAGTATAATTACTGATTGTAGAAAGATTTATAAATAAATACAAATAGGCATTCTTATTGTAAACTGGTAAAATACTGATTTGAGAATTTTTAACTATATTATTTATTGCCTATTGCAGTCAGATAATGGCAGAAATCAGAATAAAATAGGCTACAATAGAATAGCCTATTTGAATTAGTTTATTGATCTAAATTCTGATTGTTTTATATTAATAAATATATTACAATCAGTAAAATTCTGATTAAATAAGTTTTTATTTTATTGATTATCAATCTGATTATTACTGATAGTATACTAATTAAAAAATCAGAATAATTGCCAATTGTATTAAATTATACAAAAAAGTAAATACAATTAAAAAATAACCTACAATCGGATTATTAAGCATAATTTTTTAAATATTTAAAATTATAAAGTAAATGTTTATTATAATGGTGTATTTTTATGTGTAGAACAAGTTTACTTAGAGTATGAAGATATGATTAATTAGTAAAATTTTAAGGATCATAATATTTTTTATAATTTTATTAATAAAATTATGAAAAATATTATGATCCTTAAAATTTTACTAATTAATTATATCTTCATGCTCTAAGTAAACTTGTTCTACACATAAAAATACACTATTTCAGTATTATTTACTTTATAATTTTAAATATTTAAAAAAAATATGCTTAGTTTTGTAATTTTGATCAAAATTCCAAAATTAAGCATATTTTTTTAAATATTTAAAATTATAAAATAATGTATACCAAAAGGTGTATTTTTATGTATAGAACAAGTTTACTTATAACATTAAGGTAGGATTAATTAGTAAAATTTTAAGGATCATAATATTTTTTATAATTTTATTAATAAAATTATAAAAAATATTATGATCCTTAAAATTTTACTAATTAATCCTACCTTAATGTTATAAGTAAACTTGTTCTATACATAAAAATACACCTTTTGGTATACATTATTTTATAATTTTAAATATTTAAAAAAATATGCTTAATTTTGGAATTTTGATCAAAATTACAAAACTAAGCATATTTTTTTTAAATATTTAAAATTATAAAGTAAATAATACTGAAATAGTGTATTTTTATGTGTAGAACAAGTTTACTTAGAGCATGAAGATATAATTAATTAGTAAAATTTTAAGGATCATAATATTTTTCATAATTTTATTAATAAAATTATAAAAAATATTATGATCCTTAAAATTTTACTAATTAATCATATCTTCATACTCTAAGTAAACTTGTTCTACACATAAAAATACACCATTATAATAAACATTTACTTTATAATTTTAAATATTTAAAAAATTATGCTTAATAATCCGATTGTAGGTTATTTTTTAATTGTATTTACTTTTTTGTATAATTTAATACAATTGGCAATTATTCTGATTTTTTAATTAGTATACTATCAGTAATAATCAGATTGATAATCAATAAAATAAAAACTTATTTAATCAGAATTTTACTGATTGTAATATATTTATTAATATAAAACAATCAGAATTTAGATCAATAAACTAATTCAAATAGGCTATTCTATTGTAGCCTATTTTATTCTGATTTCTGCCATTATCTGACTGCAATAGGCAATAAATAATATAGTTAAAAATTCTCAAATCAGTATTTTACCAGTTTACAATAAGAATGCCTATTTGTATTTATTTATAAATCTTTCTACAATCAGTAATTATACTAGTTGGACATTTTTTTACCTGTGACAGTATATTCTTGCAAAAAAAATTGGCAAAAAGTATAGAAGTAAAGTATTACAAATATTATTTATTATATAAATATATAAATTAATTTTTAAAAAGTGATTTACCTTATATTTTACACAGAGTTTTTATATCTGTATAAAGACCAGTTCTGGACTGGTTCTATAGTCCTTATTGGTTCTAGCTTAGAACTAGTTTAAACTGGTCTTTTTTATAACCTGGTATATTACTAATTAAGATTATATCTAAAATTAAAATATATTTTTTTCCTTCTATAGTCAAACACAATTTAAGAAGCTTGTCACTTTCTTATTTTAATAGAGTATTTAGCTTATTTTGTAATAATATTACAAACTTTAGCATTGTAAATATAACAATAAAATTCATTTCTATAGTAAGTAAATAGAATTCTAATAGGTTTTGCAGTTAGTCAAAACATCAAGTGAGTTTATTATTTTATATTTAGTATTACTTTGATTTTTATCAAATAAACTTATTTTAATTTGTATAGTTTGCAATTATTATGTCTGCTTTGAAAGTCTAAAATATAATTAAATACTTTTAAGCAATTATAAACTGGCTTAATTTGTTTTAACTCTTTTTTTACTGAAAGTTAAAGAATATAAGCAATATATGATTGCCAAATAATATTAGACTAATAATTTTCTTTAACAAATTAATATCCTTTATTATATTAGTACTATTATTTGTTACAATTATATATATCTTATTTACTAATTTCTATTTATATATTATAAGAAATAATTTTTTGCTAATACTTTGATTTGTATATAAACATGATATATGATTATTTGAAAGTAATACTTTTTGAACTTAAAATCAAATATTAGTTATATTGTAATTATATCTAGATAATTATAATGTTACAATGCTATAGCCTTCTTGATATAATTATAGCAGAGTAACAAGATCACCCGGTGTAGTGATATACTTTATGAATATACACGGGGTGGATGTGAAGTATATATTTTAACTTCACAGCAGGAGGCAAATGGTTCAAGATAATAACAGTATATAGATAATAATATTTATTAATAATAAGTATAGTGATAACCTTGCCTGTAGAAATTACTCTAAAGAGGGAATATTACACTTTACAAGTAGAGAAGGGTAAGAGGATAAGACTAGATTCTATGAGAGGATAGGAACTCTCTATGAGAGTAAAAAAACTCTCTGTAAGAGTATAGGAACTCTCTTTAAGAGTAATGAAACTCTAAGCTGGATGAAAGGAGACAAGGCTTCCTTTTTATAACTTTTCTACAGATAAAAGTGTAATAGTATAATTGCCTAACAGAGTGGAGGCACTCTGGAGGCACTATGTAGAGATACTATAGAGGCACTGTGCAAAGGTACTTTGGAGATACTGTGTAGAAGTACTTTGGAGACACTATGCAGAAATACTTTGGAGGCACTATGTAGAGTTACTTTAAAGATACTATGCAGACTCTCTTGCATCATATACTGTTTTACTTAGCCGCAGTATTACTGTGCTCTATTCTATCATCCAATAGAATCTTTCCTCTAATTAAATATAATTAACTATACTAATACAATATATGATATATATAAATAATAACTATGCTAATATAATATTAATACTCTATAAAATAATACAATAAATGAAATATTTTAAACTACATTATTATGTGTTACAACCTACTTTGTAACAATAATTACTCTTTGCTATCTACAAATTAGTTGTCATATTAACAGTATTGACATTTAATAATAGCTTTTTAAGTTTTTTAAACCCTTATAAATAAGTTTTAGAGAGATATTTCTTTACTGTATTAGTACTTAGTATTTGATACTATAGTTTAAAACTATATAGAAACTTATAAAAAGATAGATTTTTTTTTAACTCTTCCTAATGATCTCTTGGACCAACTTTTTACAACAAAAAATTTTGACAAAAACTGTAAAACTATATTAGAGAAGAAGGATATAAGACTGACGAGAACTATAAACCAGCACCTATTATTTAAAGATAGTTCTTATATGCTATCTGCTAATAGGTTTAGAGCTTATCACTTATCATGGGGATAGCACTTGTTATTTAGAAGTAGTTCTCATACACTACTTGCTAACAAGTTTAGAGTTTATCACTTACTGAAAAGAATATCAGCAGTGTGCTTGGATCTAATCATCTTACTATTTTTAAAGAAATATATACTCTCTCTTAAGAAAAGTACAAGATCTATACTCTTTATTATCACTCACTTGTGTCTATAACAAAATTTTCAAAAAAAATAAGCAAAATAGCTTACCCCTATCAAAAGATCTGCATTGTTTACTCCTTTCAAATTTGTTTAACATGGTAGATTGCAATCACATGTTTTGTTTAGTAATAAACATATTGCTACTTTATGTAACAAGGCCTATTGACTAGTCTTTAGTTAAAGACTTATCTGGATTTGGTCATATAGTCAAAAAAGAACTAATATATTAAGGCAAAGTTTTACAGTAGAGATATATAGATGTTGCATTTGTTGTATAATTTTTTTAAGCCTTGCACAGATTACAATAGTGCACTTTCTTTTATTTTCTTTTATTATATTGTTTAGCCCAGTCTAAGAGCCTTATTTATTTTTTTTATCTTTTTCTTATATGGTTATATTAAAGTTTTATGCTTAGGTTTTCATTTTTTCTCCCCTATAGTCTTCCTTTCTTTTAATCATTTTCTTCATCTCCCACTTCTTGCAATATTGTTTTATTTCTTTTTTGTTTTTCTTGGTTTTATTGAATAGAGAAACAAGCTTATGAAGCCTTTCTGCCAAGATTTAGGTAGAAAAAAATTAAGTTTTGGCTTTTGGGCAGAGCTAACAATGTCTTCTGTTCTATTCATAGCACAGTGTGACAGGTTGCATCTAGATACTCAAGAAGTAACTGGATAATGCCACATCTAATTATTTTAGTTTAGATATGGCACATGTGTTTTGCATATGTAATAATTATCTTTTAATAAAGGTAGCAACAAGACTGTTAAAGAGTTAAAAAAAAAAAAAAAAAAGATAAATTTTTTTAATTATATATAATAGTTAAATATTATATCCCTTAAATTGTAACACAGGCAAATTTACCTGTGTTTTTATTAAAAAGTTTAATTTTTTTACTAAGATTCAAGAGTAAAATATGTTAGATCACTTAAGTTTTAGTAAAGAGGTTTTTAGCCAACATTTTTACTCTAATTTTGAAGGTTAATAAAATCACAGTTTATTTTATAATATTGGGATAGTGACAAGATAATTGAATAATTTATTAGAAATAATAAAATTAGATAAGTGAAAACTACTGAAATATTTTTACTATTATTATTTCAAAGTATTACTTAACTAAGTTCTGCTTTATTTACCAAAAAAAGGTCTTTGCTTTTATACTTTTTACAGGACTATAATAATACAGGTTTGAATTTATATGCAAAAGGCAATAAAGCAAATATAGTCAAAGAAGTGAATAAAGTGACAATATTTATAAAAGCTATTATCACAGACATAATATTGAAATACAATATTGTGACTAAATCTATAAAATCAGCTAAAACGAACTCTTTGTACAAGTCTGCCATACCCGTTAAGTTGAGTAGAAAACATCCATAATATCTATGTATATAATAATAATAATAATATAACTAATAAATAAAATAAAATAAAAAAAATTTTATAGGCCCTTCACAATGCACATCACATTTCCCCATCCACTCTAAATCGGTTGAAATTTGTGAACTCAAAATTACCAAAAAAAAATCAAGTCAAGGAAAATCGATTATTAAAATAAATGTCAATTTACCAGAAAAGGTCGTCTAAAGCGGAGTAAAATCACGTGATACACGACCAACCAAATTATAGAATTTTGACGATCGCCGGCGAAGCAAAACAAAAAAGAAAAGCAAAAACTTGAAAAATACAAAAAACAGCAGTCTAAACCTACCTAGATAGGTTAAGTAAAAATGTCAGGAAGCAATTTTGCATATATAACTATCTAAAACTCTGTCCTAACCTTAATCTAAGATAACCTTAATCCGGAAGTTAATTCAATAAAATATATACGTAGTATAAGAATCTGCTCCGCTTTAGACCCCAGAAAAGTGATTTAGAGTAACACCAAACGTTAGCAATCATTTCTAAGCGCTAACATTAACTAACTAAATAAACTAAATTGAATGGTTTTACTACAAAATCCCGAAAGACAGATTCCCGAAAGGACCTAATACCGACAAAGTTAGCCGGCATTAGTTATAATGTTGGTCAATTTAATCGGTATTATGTTCATTCGGGAAAATGGTTTTCGGGATTTTGTGGTAGGAATATATGAACAACGATCAAATTTGGAAATTCATTGACCGATTAAATATATATATTTAGATATCACTTTTACTAAAACGCACACCTATGGTGTTTTACCACCTATGTTGCATTATCTTAAAAACTGGCTAACTAATTAATATGCGATGCTTTAAATAAAAATGCTCTACATCCTCAAAAACCCTTCCTAAATCTTAATTCTATCACTAAATACTAACCCATACATGAAAAATTTATACTAAAAATTTTATCTAAAGAAAACTTAGAAAACTTTGAAAGATATATAAATATATATATATAATAGGTGCAAAATCACCATAGGTGCGTTTTATAATAAATGTTCAGATATTTATATATTTATTCGTACACAGTATATAGTATTTAATATTTAGGTAAAGCAATAATAAAAATAAAAATAAATTTTTTTTTTATAAAATGATCACTAATGACTATTTTTCTTTTGATTGAAAGAATTTTTTTTCAACGAATTTACTTAAATGATCGTAAAATATGTTGGCTACTCTATTTTCTTCGTGCATCAATTGCTGATACATGCTTGTTAATTTCTCTTCCCATTCTTTAACCGTTTGAACATTATCTTTTCTCTTAGTTTGAGAAATTTTAAAAGAATTTTGCCTATTATCTGGGTCACCAATAGTTTGCACTAGTAGTGAAATTGCCATTTCTGTGTTAAAAAGATCGGTTAAATAATGATTGAATAATAGATCAAGAATTTCATGGCTAGTGCTTTGTGAGATTGTTTCCAAATGAGAAGGTCGGAAAAAGGTTTTAGCGTTGCAATATGCCTTAAAAGTATCGTATATATCTTTGAACACAAATTCATTCATTCCACTAGAGACTTTGATATTAGACATTTGAAGTTCGGTTTCGAAACTAATACACGTTTTTAAAAGATCATCAAAACAGAGTGCAGTTATTTGTTCATCCGGTCCAAATCTTTTGAGCACCCAGTTATAAAATTTAGGTGATAATGCTAGAGGCTTGACATGTACATGCATAAATGATTCCATCAATATGTTACCAATGTCATCTAATCTATGTTTAAAATGATGGAGGACATAACTGATAACATTGTGATTTAATTGAAATCCGGCTTCAATTAATTCCATAAGTCTTTTTTTAACAATTTGTACACTTGGTCGTGTCCATCCTGCAAAAGGTCTCGGTGGAAAAAGAAGTAAAAAAGCACCCTTCATTACTAGATCATTTAAATCTTCACAAATTTCATAGTACCCGATTTGTTTCCATAAATGAACCAAATCTTTGCAGATTAGAATTGAACGTGCAATTATGTTAAGTTGTCGATCATTTTCATAACCATCTTTTGCTGGATACTCATTTTGATTTCCTTGTAATTGATTTGTTCTTTGTGGGAACGGAATAAATTTTGTATGCAATATTAACTTTTGGATATGTTCCATATTTTGAAATAAAATAACTTGCGCATGATTGATTACTTGTTCACCTCCGGAAAGAAGAGTAAAAAGCTTCATATCATCCCCTCTAACCTGGAGATCATTAGGTTCCATTTGTTCTTGAGCTTCAGTTATTAAATATGAAAAAGTTGAAATCTGCAAATTACTTGCCCATGAGATTTCTGCTCTTAAATTTACAATTTTATTAATAATTATTTGCCCTGCTGTATTATAAGGAGTATCATAACGTCCAAAATGAGTAAATAGCCTCTGAATAAAGTATCTAGAAAGAATAGCTCCCTTGGCAATAATAGCCTTTGCTACTGAAAGATCAATAAAGGTTGGGCCTAATCTTATAGCGTGAAAGAGCGCATGAGACCTTCCATATTTGTATATAATCCATTCTGCTCTTGTTTGACTATCTTTGGCTATAATAGAGAATTTTTTGCAGCTTACTGCCAAGTTTTTAAAGTCCTTAGGAGAACTTACAAATTTAAAAATTAATATTTGAAGTTCATCCGCAAGATTTTTAGTGATTGTAAACATTAGAAAGGGAAATTCACACTAAAGAGTTTCAATAAAATAAAGACTTTGTTTATTGAATTCAGCCTAAATCGCTGTACTCCCTTCCAAAGTACATCACGGTTATACAAAAAGCAAAACACAAAGTAATCGTAATGGAATTAAAGATACAGTAGACAATATAAAATACCACATTTTTAATCTAATCATAATCTATCCAACATGTACAATACGTATAATGCACACATAGATAACTAATAATCATAGCAAAACTTAAAAATAGCGGGCCCTTCTATGAGCATTGCAAAAGAAATTTCGGAGGTAATTTCCATTTAACTCCATGTAATTACTATATAAATTTTGTAATATTTATTTGTGTCGTACTTTTAGAGAACACAATAATCTATTGATTTTGATGCGTATCATTAAAGCTAATTTTGATTACTGGACCTTTTTTGGTCACTGAAACTAATTAAAGATCTCTTAAATTATAATTCTTTATATGTTAGTAAATTATGTGTACATCGTTATAAAGGATCTTAAATGTAAAAAAGTTTGTTAATTCTACACTTTAACTGATTATTTTTTGTTTTACTTTAGGTAGAAGTGTTTATAAAGTGCTTTTTAAGACGTAACGTTACACAAATAAAGCATCACACAATTACACATCGTTTCTAGCTCCAAAAAAAAAAAATAATAATTAAAAATGCTAGAAGGTTAACTTTATTAAAAATAAAATTTAATACGAACTTATATAATTTAAGATGTTTAGTAACAACATTTTTGACAAATTCCTTCCTATAAGGTAGAAGTGACTTCATTATTAATTATTGACAGTCTATTAATTGGTTGCAGTTCGTGATTTAATCACAGAAATCTCTCAATTAAATTAACAACAATGTGCACATTATTGTTGAATTTCTATATAGCTCCCTAAAATCCACCTGTTTATCATGAATTCTATCTCTAAAGCTGACCGAACCCTAAATGCTAATCTTTTCATCTTAACCTGTAAATTTATTTGTTTATATTATCGATAGCCAAAAAAGGAGGTCGGTTGAAGCGAAGTAAGATTAGAGTTACGCAGTTTGGTTATTCTTTTATCTAAATATATCAAGAATATAATTAATCAGTATGTAAACTTTAGATTCAAGGTTAGTGTAAGTAGCAATGGACAAAGAAAGAAATAGTTTTTATTTACAAAATAGCATTTCCAACATTTATAATTAGTAAGCTGACTCTGTCATTCGTTTCCTTTATCTTCGCCATCTTTATTTTATTTTTTGAATACGTATCTCCGTTATTCTATATATGGTTTGCGTTACAAGCGCATATAAATACGCCCAACCCTAAATTTTAGGGAATAATCAGAATTAATGGTCATGCAATATACTTATCGTTATATTCCAGTATTCCAACAAAATACGTATATACGTACGTACCAACTTGCTGCTATTAATTCTGTAGGATTTAGGTTTAAAATATTGGGATCCATGTAATTGATTTGGTCAGGTTCCAGTAATATATTTTTAATCAATCGAAATTATTAGAATGTTGACACATTAATAGTGTTACGAATTTTATTGTTTATTTGTATTTTTATTTGGAGACTAAGTGGCTATGTGTGCAATGCGTTGTGAGTCTGTACGAAAACACTTGAGCAAATAGCTTTCTTTAAATGATGTGTTTTTAAATGCAACGAATGATTGCACACAAAATATCTTTGATAATGAAATTTTTTTATTTGATAACGGAATTTACCTACAACATCAACAATCAGAACTAAACGTCATACATATGTGCAACTTTTGGTGGAATTTAAGTGGATTTGAGTGGTCTTAAATATCTTAATATTAATATGTATTAAGAAATGAATTAATTATATACAATAAGCCATATCCTGGCTTTAATATGAAACCTACTTCTAACCCTAATTCAAACATTAAATTATACGGACTTATGTTCAAATCATTTCGGTCTAAGGTTGGTTTCAAATAATTTGAACATATGTATACTAATCTAGGGTTATCTTTGTTAGAATATACTTATGTATTGAATACGAGTTTTTCAGAAATATTTGAAAAATATCTAAAAAAAATATTTTTAATTATATACTATGAGTGATATTAATCAAAATACTTTTCATTTTTTTAAATGATAACTATATATGCAAAAGTAACTTAACAAAGAATAATTCTACCGTACGTGATTATATTTCCTACAATAACCTACGTAAGTTTGGCAAAAAACAAGAAGTCTATCTACATACGTACAGTATATGAATTTGTCGAAATATAAAAGTAATCTAATGCATTATTAATGTTTACGTATATGTTAGGTCGAAATATGAAAACATTAATTCTTGAAAAAAAGATTTCTTGGAAGTATGAATTTTTTTTTTTTTTTTGGAGAATAATTTTAATGTAACGTTATGACAAGATCTCGTTGACAATCAAAACATTGATCCTCAACCGTGACTGTGACTGTGTTAGAACCACAATTCACTTGGATCTGA